TAACAAGTCTCTACATATTAACTTGCGATAGGAATATCGATTAGGATATGTGGCGAAAGATTTTCATCGATGTTTTACCCGACTGACAAAGAAGTATTTTAGTAAAGATATGTCATCATCATCTTCCTCCTTATCCAACTCCCTTAGGGTCGACGCAACAGGTTTTTGTCCTCCACAGAACTCTATCGTACGTTATCTCAGTCGTCACCTCGTTTTAGATTGAGTCACTTTTCACGCAATCCATCCATCTCTAAGTAAAGACATGTAAGTATGTTTATATGTGACCAAAGCGGTTTTGACGAATGTGGTGTCATTTAATTCGTGTTCTTCACCGGAGTGTCATCGGTAAATTACTTTGTCATAAAATATCTACAGTAGACGTGAGAATTAAAGTTTTAATATATGGAAATAGCAGAGTTTCCAGAAAATGTTTAAATCATTAAATGTTAGGTGAATTCTCCTCACGACAAATAATTTGATATATCGAAGCGAAACGGATTAAACTGCTCGACATCCGGGGATTATGGGACAAGATTGATTGCTTATGTTAGACGAATTGCTTTGCTAATACATTCTCATGTTTAATTGTAATTTTTTTTTATAAATCATCCGTCATCAATCTATTGGGAATTATATTAAAATGCGAAATAGAATTTTCAAGTAAATCTCTCAATGTGAGGCGTGACGCGACCGCGAAAGAAGTCCAATAACCCTCGCCCTGAGGGTAAACCCCCGATGGGTCCGAAACTATTCGGTGCCGCCACCGGAAAAATAGACGTGAGTGATAGTTGTAAAATAATTAGTTATCTTTCTCAGTTTCAAATAAATAATTACTTAATCTACTGTTAGTTATAATTTCCGTAACATTTGACTGACGGTTAATAAAATTTTATTATCGGTAACTAGAAACTCTTGATTTAAAAAGTATTACTAATTAAAAAGTTAGAACTAATTAACTTACTTGGATCCTGTCTATATTAATTAACGCTAACGAAGAGTTCTTAGTAATGGTTCATTAAAATAAAGTAAACATTTACATTTAAAACAAAACACAAAAAACAAAACAAAATCAGACCTAAACAAATTCTCTCTCAAATACGTAGCAAAAAGACCATTTATTTACAATATATTTTGTATTTTTACTAGTATGTTAAAATAGTTAGAAAGTTAGAATATTTGATGTTTAAAAATGCAAGATTTGCATAGTTTTTTTTTTAAGTAAAGTAGAGTCCTTTTAACATACCGATCCTGTATTCAACGCGCATGAAAGGATTTTTTTAAAGGAAGACTTTGCCCACAGCTTTCCCATCCCGTTCAAATGAAAGCTATGAAAAGGTATTTAAAAAGCTTTTCATATCTACGCTGTGCGATGCATTTCCCTTTATCTCTTAGCAAATCTGTATTAACTACTTATATTCGCTGTTATTACTTACTTTATATTGCTTTTTTCAGTTATTTTAGTAATGTTATAAATGCGAAAGTATAGATGGAATGTTTGCTAGAGTTTGTAATCTAAATTGCTGAACGGATCTCGATGAAATATGGCTCAGGTGTAGAGGATAGTCTGGAAGAACACATAGGCTACTTTCTTTTGTTTTCTTTTATACTAAGCGGACAGAATTGCGGACGTAAGCTAGTTGTTGTATTAATGTTTGATATACTTACACACTAACTTCCGTACTCAGAATTGTTAAATAGTCACTGAGAGGTTACACTAATCTATTTCAAAAACTTTAAATACCTTGCTTTAGTCACTATTTAATAATTGGGGAGGATATTGCTAAGTGTTTTGCTCCAAATTGAATCTATATCATACTAAATAAATTGTATCATACTAATTTTATAAATGCGAAAGTTTAGATGGATGGATGGATGTTTGTTAGAGTTTGTAGCCTAAACGGCTGAACAGATGTCGATGACATTTTGTGTAGATGTAGAGGGTAGTCTGGAAGAATACATAGGCTACGCACTTTTGATTTTTTAATTCCACGCGGACGAAGTCACAGGCAAAAGCTAGTTTCTTATGTTAAATTTGTTTTTTCTATTTTTAACATATTTAGTAATTCGTTCAAACAAATGAGGAAAACACAATAAACAAAACGTACTCTTCAAAGGGGCTAAACATTGAAAAAAAAAAAGAAAAGTGTAGAGTCTCTCAGAACAATAGGTCGTTCTTTGTGAGAGCTATTTCTTAGAAAACACGTATAAAAATACTAACAACATGATGGTCACATGTTTAAATAACACATTAACAGTTTTTTTTACATTTTTTATTCATCATCATAATTTGTAACTTAAATGAGTCCAAAACCTGTTTTCTAGATTCTAGGACGTCAGGAGATAGACTATCTTGTATGTAAGTATAACACGAGCGGAGATATGAAAAACTTCACCATATTGCGGAAATTAGAACTGATTTTCGTATAATTATAAATGGTAAAGAATTATTAACTGGCTTTTTATTCTGTTGTGGCTATATGTACTTATTTTTCAGGTCAATTTTGCAAAACTAAAGGAATAAAATCTGCAAGCATAATTTCCCTGAGAAAGATTCCATAATTAAAAAGAAATAAAGTTAGTAAGCGAAATGGTACGTCATTTAGAACGCTCATCACACGAGTGCTTTTGTTCTGAAAGCTCTCAGTAAAAAGTTTCTCCGTTGTATAAAGTATAATAAAAAGAACATCATCACAACCATTTTAATTATAATACGGATTGTGCTAAAATTTGTATTCACTATTATAAAAGAACAGAAAATTAAAAAAAAAGTTATGCTTAAAATCCACAAGTCTAAGATTCGAGTTTATCAAGAATCGAATAAAAAAAAAAACATTTTCCTTTTTCCCTTCACTCTTACACCGTCAATTGTTTTTTAATGTTGAAAAAAAAGAAAAACGACAACAAAAGTCATAACCTTAGTGATATTTGAACGGCATTTGATAAATGCGCTTAATGTAAGAAACAATTACTGAAAGCGTTTGACCTCTGCGTGTTTGGATTCCTAATTATTCACAATTTTCACTAATTTCGTTTGACAAAATCACAAAGTATAAACCAGTTAGTATGTAATTAAGTTTATAAATTGCATTTGCTTGATTTGTATAAATTCCGATTTAAAATTGCTCCAAATATATGAAATAAGGTGTTTTACAAGCTAATGGAATTAAATAAAATACATGTATAATACTATATTTTCATTTAATGATTTAAAATTATTTTCCTCTTAATACATCAATCATTAAGCATTTGAACAACTTTATAAGGGCGTAGTCACATTTGAGTGTTTATTTTTAATTCAACAATATTTACTATTCTATTTACAAATAAACATTTCTATTATTTAATGAAAAATTAATACTGATATTATAAAGCACATACTTTTACATAAGCTTATATACATTTTTACATTCAAGGCAATTTGATAAACTAACATTTACTAAATTTATCGATATGATATCATTTATATGCTTTTTATATATTTAGAAAAGAGTTTATTGACAGTATTATTCAATTAATTGGATATTTTAATGGGAAACTATCACAGGAATATAAACTTATTGGCATAACAAATAAACAAGTGAAAGTCAACACAAAGATGTTCATTGGTAAATGTCTATGTGCTCTAATAAAAGTGTAATAATATCATTTACAATTAATATACTAAATTTAAGTAAAATAAATATATTAATATAAAAATGGATCAATTTCTGTAATAAATAAATAAACGAAACCTGTATCTTGTCAATACTAGTGTACTTAACTATACTTTAATTAAACAAATGACTATTATAATAAAAAAATGCCATTTTTATTTAACACAATACTAAAATACACGTTGGACAAATAAAATAAAATGTAAAGAATAAATATACATCAAGAGTTTGTACTTTCTATTATCTTATATTTGATATTCATAGTAATCAAGCTATATCTAAATGTTTTCACCTTTTGTCTTTCATTTATTGTTACAATAATACTGTATTATCTTTACCTACTAACGAGTCACATCAAGTAAATATATACTTCGTTATATACCAAAAATCTCATTAACAACAATGCTTTTGAAATACATAAAACAAGTGAAAACTCATGAGGGAAAAACAAAACACAACTTCACTAACCATTAGGCCTTTTATATAAAAGACTAGAGGATATGAAGAATTATTTAAAAATAGTAATAAAGGGTCGTTATTTTTAAATGCCTATAACTAAATATCTAAGTTACTTTTAAGTATACAAATTTATTAACATGTACAGATTCACTACAACTTTGTTTAAATGGATGTAACATACACTGAGGTAATTAAAAATATTAACCTCCCGTTTTCCTAATTGACTCCATTTATTGACGCTAAATTGATAAACTTAACTACAGGAAGTACATAATTTTCTACGTAACTAACAATTGACAACACTCTTAACGCTAAAAAACTTTAGCTGGGCTCTGGCTGAAAGCTTTTAAGCGTAAATCTACAGTAAAACGAAAATAAAACGATCATTTATGACTACATAAAAATAGACATCTTTGATTCAATTTACGACTTTAAAATAATCGTAACATTTAAGATTTCTTAACAAATTTGACATTTTCTTTCAGGAATACGAATTAATATAATTTTATCTAGAAATATAAAGAGACTTTTACATAAATCTATCTATTAATATTTACAATAACTTTTATTGTCAGTTCCGAACTTCAAAGATGGAGTAAATTCCTTAAAACTATAAAACGTATTCACTATATTATATACATCTTGTAACTACGTATATGTATTACTAATATTTATTAAATGTTTTTTTTTACTCCAATTTTCAACATAGAAAAGTTATGCTATACTTTAAAACATCTTCGATTTAAAATCTATACATCCAAAGCATTTAAATTTATAAACTTGTATTGTCTTATAACCATATCTCCTTTGAGATTTTTATGTGCGTAACAATTTTATATGAACACTGTACGTGTATGTTTACGCATTTTTATAGCCAACATACATGGACTAGGTGATGTGGAAATCGCCCCGTAAGAGTCTCGTGAAAGTCTTCTTGAATTGCTGATTCGCTAACGCATAGCAAAACGGATTGATCGGACTATTAGCGTAACATAAGAAGTAAGAGAACATATAAATATGTTTGTTAATACAAGGCGGGTCAGTACAGAAACCTTCCACTAGAGCTAAAATATGATATGGTGTCCAGCAAACGACGAAAGCACCTAAAATGAACGATATGGTTCTAAATGCTTTTCGTGCCCTGTTTTCCGATTTGGATTTCTGTCTACCAATGCTTGGAAATAAACCGTCGCGTTTCGAACGTTTTGATTTTAATTTTTTGCCAATGTTTTTAACGAATTCCTTCTTGGAGTCGGAACGGCCAGTACCACTGACTGCTGGACTTGAAACTTCACTACTTTCGATCGCCATACTTACACCTGGTGTTAATCGCATAGGGGCTGCTTTATTTTCGACTTCTTTAGGGGGCAGAGATTCATTATTATTGGAAGATGATGAGACAAGGGTTATCACGGGCTTGGGTCGTTCTCCTGGAGTCAAACTTACCTCAGTATTAACTTTAACGGGTGGTGAAGGAGATACATTAGTTTTGGGTTGTGACACTTGAGCTTCAGCTGTTGCTCGTATAAGAGCAGCCTGCAATAACGAAGTGTTTGTTACATTACCCGAAATAATCGGGGGAGATGATGGTTCGGTAGCTGTGGGGAAGGTGATTGACGAAGGTGGGCTTTCATTGGTAGGTGAAGGTACGTTAACTGAACTCTCATCCATATATCTCAAATCTGCACCATCCATTCCTACAAGCACATCGTAAGTACTTCCGTCGCCTCTTATTAGTTTAATAATTCTAGTTCTAGATGATTCGGAATGAGATGGTGGGCTTTCAGACACTGTTGGGCTGCATCTGAATTCTGATGGAGGGGGAATGATTCTTTGAGCAATTGTAGTTGATACCTCTCTTTCAGATGGTGTTGCAAGTCCTGAAGAATCTGGCGATATAACACTAGCGGAGGATGTGGTAACTGGTGCTGATATATATCTATTACTTTGAAATGTATCTGGGTTCTCAGTATCTAGAAGGCTTTTCTCAGATATTTGTGACAAGGATGTTTTCGGTTTATCAAGCTTATCAAGAACTGGGGACTGTTTTACGTCAGTTTTTAATAGCATGCCACCGTTTAAGCGCATATTGTTTAGTAAGTGCATTGCACCGGTTTGCATCACTAAATTTGCCACTGATGGTCGCTTTTTTACATTACATTGAGTAGTACTCTCGTCATCGGAATCAAAGGCCGGGCTACTTGATCTCTCTGCCTCTACTTGATCTTCTTTCTTGTCTCCATCAGATTCAGCAGTTGTCGATGTACCAGTAGCCGTAGCGCTACTTTTGTGAGCTGATGACTTTTGACTAGAATTAGAATCTGAAGATCCGCCTAAGTTAAGTAATGGGGCAGCTAAAGATCCTTTTGCTGTGGAATCTTTTTGTTCGGTTTCAGATACCTTCACCTGATCTTCACTGGAAATGGTAGGTTTTGGTAAGCCCGCCATACCAGCAGCCCGCCCGGCCATACCAGACATTACTCCAGCGCTTAAAGCGACCATCGACTGCATCTTCCTTTGTTTCGCTTCGCTTTTCTTTTGCATATCGTAAGCAGTTTTAAAAATACCTGCATATAATACAATAAGGACAAAAAGTGTAGTCCAATAATAACCTATTATTAAAGCTGTGTTAAATATAGGATCTTTTAAAAATTGAACGGCGCATTCACCTTCCTGTAAATCCCTATAGCCCACAAAGTGTTCCCAACCAAAAATGGTTGTGAAGAACAATAAAGCTGGTATTATCCAGGTCACAGTAACCATCCAAATGACACGATTTTTCGTTCTCCACGCTCTATATCGTGCTGCTATCTTTACGCTACAAAATCTGTCGACTGTTATTAGTAAAACAGTATATTGTGATACTAGGCATACTGTGTAATCCACTGATAGCCATAAATCACAGAGTAATGGGCCTAGATGCCAGTATCCTTTTAATACATAATCTGTGTAGAATGGAAGTGATAAAGTACCTGCAATAAAAGTTAATTTTATTCCTAATCTTTAGTATTAATGTCCTTACAACTATGGTGTCACCACATACCTATGAGTAAATCAGTAGCGGCAAGGGAAGCGATGAAGTAGTTGCTAGGTTGTCGTATTGTTCGGTCCACGAGGAAGGCCAAAAGAACGAGTACGTTTCCACTGACGGTCAGGAGAATAACCAGCACCAAGCATGTGGCAAAAATGACTGCCAACCAAAGTGGGAATGGCGGTAGCACGGGTTCCTATGGAATTGAAGAATATGTTAATAGTACTTAGTATATCATATTGAAGCATAGTAAGGAAGTAGGCATTTTAGTATCACTATTGGAATAATGACGGATGTAATTTATTTAAAAAGACTAGACTTGAAAGACTCGTCACATACTAAGTATTTTGTTTTCTATTTGTTGAGACAGTAGAGACATTTTGTCGAAGTTGACTCAAGTTTTAACCAGATGTTAGAGATATCGCAAAACTAACATAACATTAGGCGTATTTAGTTTTGTACAACTATAACAATATGAGGGATGGCCCAGGTATTGTGTAGGTAATAATGGCGCTCCGTTGGCGACATTCCCTCGCCTCGGCCGTGACATAAACACATGATAATGTTCACAATCGATTTGCCGTCAGCACTCGCTGAACAATATTCAACGGGCTTGTTGTTCAAGTTATGAAACGTTTTACATTTCGAATGCTATGTTTGTTTCGCTTTCAAGATTACTTTGTTTATATTAAATGAGTTTTGTTAAACTTTCATAACGTAGTTTATAATGGCTATGAATATTAAATATTTTGTGTTACTCATTTACAACTGCTATCATTTTAAACTTGTTTTGAAATTAATTGCGGTAAACATTTATTTTTTAATGTTTCTTATACACAAAGTTATAAAAGTATCCAGCTAATTTGTTGCCACAGATTTAAAGCACTTTATACCAATAAACCTTTCAAACTTAGTAATATTAGTTCTTACTAATGCGGAAGTTTAGCTTAAGATGGATGCATGTCAATTGATCTCGGTTAAATTTGGCATAGACGCACCAGTCTGGAAGAACACATATGCTACTATTTTTTTTTTATATTCCTTGCCGACGGTTTTGCGTTTGTGCAAAGTGTTTTGTTTCTACTTTTGACGTTGTAAGATCGTCTACTCACCAAAGTGCCATCCCCACTGAGACCTGTATCTATAGTGGTATTGTAATAATAAAGATCGGTGTCGTTCGTGCTATTGGAGATCAGGTAACCCTGGCATTCGGGATACGAAGAAGATGGCACGCAAGTCCGTTGTTTGAATTTTTGTAATTTCCTACAAAGATAAAGAAATATGTGCTAATTGTTGTTGTGATTAGAGATTATTTTGCTTTGAAACAATGCGTTTAAAACATTTTTTTATGTTAAATCATATGCAGTTTTAAGTGTTATTATAGTAAAGAATGTAAAAAAGTATAATTAGAAACCATTGCGTGATGAAGCTCGTGCCGATAGCGTAGATAGGGGTGGAGCGGTTGACGTCAGTCGCCTCTGTGCCGTTCATTGTTCTGTGCTGATGATTGCGGTTGTATCACACCTGCTTTGTAAATGCGTAAATATGTTCGTCTTCAACTTTGTTAGGATTGTACCTGTAACAAAAAGATGTGTTTCGAATATTATGAATAATTTGTAGGTTATGATTCGTCATGAAGTGGACATTCAATTCATATCACAGTGACGTCATTTATGGGAAGATAAATATAGTGTAGTTCTCCCCTCATTTTTATCAATATGACTATATCATTATAGAAGTTGACGGTAGGTGAATTAAATTCAATTTTCATTACTATAAATGAGATTTCTTTGTTCCTCACAAGTGTCAGTGATAAGGCTGCGTGCAGATTGTCGTTAGCTGTCCGCAGCCGGCGGGCGTCTGTGTCATCCATGCGACCGCGCCCTTACCTCATCTGCAAAGTAAGCGACGGTCGGGTGGCTGCGTTTGATCGTGCAACCGGAAACAGACAAGTGGCACGTTGCAAAGCTAATCTCTAAAGATATGTAAATGTTGCTGAACGATTTTGAATATCGCCAGTTTATTATTGGCCTTCTCTAACTATAAATGTCTAATTATATCTATGGATGACATTTTTTACATTAGACAGTGCCATCTGTTTCTGGTGACGTCTGAAAGAAGCTTAAGGGCTGCACTTGATTGACAGTTTGTTGTTAAATTATCTCAGCCGTTTATGTTGTAAATTTTCCTATTTGTCAAGTTAATGTGAGGAATTGTATTAGGTTAATAAAATATTTTCAGAATATTTGATAGAGAGTTAAGATTAATATGTGAAACGAGACACGATGCCGGAGGCAAATTACGTTAACACCGCTCACAAATGATATTTCGTGTTGGATTAAATGATAAGCCATCTACATACACCCGACTTATAAATTAATAATTATGTTAGACGAATTTATATTATACCTACGTTACGTATCTGAAATTTAATCTCGGTATGTTCGAATTTCAAAAAACTACATGTAAAGAATAACTTTTTTTGTAATCCAATAAAAATTGTCCCGATTTCTAGTACAGCTACATAGATAATTAGTAAAAAACAAAACCGACTTCCAAACAAAATACACGAAAAACAAAACAAAATGCACTAAAAACAAAACAAAATACACCAAAAACAATAAATTT